TCGGGCCGGCCCAAGCTTATCTGCGTCAGCTTTTCCGGGGTGCGCATGCCGCGGCGCTCGCAGACAAACCGACTCCCATGGTGGAGCCAGGCCGCCCCGGCCCACTCCGCGGGAGACACCCACAGCGCGCAGGCCTCCGGGTTCGCCAAGCCGTTCCCAGAGGATCTGTAGATCCCGGGTTGGGATCTATGATTTTGGGCGCCATCAACAGATCCTTTTACTTATGACAAGATAACAATATATCCTGTTTTGCTTGCATCATGCGAAAACGGGATCTATAAGTTATCTGTTCAGACAGTGTCATCGAAAATTACGCGTGTCGATGTATTGTCTGCACCAAACTCAAGATAATCATCGCGCGTGTCATGTTTGATACAGTTCTCTACGATCGCGGCACGATGCATCATGCGTCCACAGCTTGCTTGAATACCAATGCTTGTTGACGTAGCAGTTGCAGCAATCCGTGTTTGCGATTTGGATATCCTTACACGTGGAATTTGAATAGGAAGGTGAGCAGAACCTGCAAGACAACCACGGCATGCGCGTTGCTGCGAGCCATCTGTATGCGCATAGTGAGCTCATATATACACAGGCGCATTCTGCATGAGCCCTGAATCCGTTTACAGGATTCAGGGCTCATGCAGAATGCGTCTGCATGCGCGGACGCGGCAAACCAGCCAGCCCCGAGGACGGCCTCGGCCTTCGCATGCGCGCGTTGCGATCAGTTGCGGCAATCCCGAGGACTGCGCGCCTGTCCAGCAGTGAACCAAAGCCCAAGCAGTTCGTCGCTGGCTCGAACGTGGAGAAAAAAACGCTATGTCTGCCACGGGCGCCGCCATCCCACGATGGATAGCCAGCGCTAGTTCGAGCCGTCGCCGAGGAGGGGGAGGAGGAGGAGGAGGGGGGGGAGGAGGGAAAAGCAGGAGGAGGGGAGGAGGAGGGAGGGAGAGGGGGGGGAGAGCGAGGGCAGGGGCTTTTTATATAAAAATATCACAGGCTTTGCACGCGCGGGTTCGCGTGCGGAAGGTCGTACCACGCCCAGTTGTACCTGGGGGCGACAACATATTTATGTTTCGCGATGTGCGCATATGCGTTATGTTACGCAATAGTTTAGCCCTGGGGCTCCCGTTCTCGTCCAGCCACCCGAGGGTGGCGGTGACGGGCCTGTTGTCGTCGCATGGGCCGATCGCCACGCGCGCCCAGTGCGCGGGCGCGCGAGCCCGCCCAGAGGGCGGCATGTCCCGCAGGGACGCCTCCCACAAGTACAGCGGCAAGGGGTTCCGCGGGACATGCCACCCGCCATGCGCCCACCATGGTGGGCGTTCGGCGCCCCATGGCTGCGCGCGTGGGAGATCTGGCAGAGCTGCCAGATCCAGCTCCTCCTCCAGGCCAGGGGGTGCACCCAGGAGGTGCTCCGCATGCGCCGCGGCCGCGGCCGCGGGGTCTGCCGCGGGGCGCGGTCTATCCCCGTACCTCGCGTAGTTCATTGCGTTGAACACCGCGCGTGCAGAGGCGCGCGGGGAGTGGGCGAGCGGGGGGGGGGAGTCCGAGCGGAGGAGTAGGAGGGCAAGGAGGAAGAAGATGGAGAAGAGAAGGAAGAGGAAGAGGAGGGAGGAAGCGGCGGGCGACGACGATGAGGGGGAGGCCGAGGAGGACGACGACGAGGAAGAGAGACGCCGAGGATGAGGAGGAGGAAAAGGAGGAGGAGGAAGAGCGTGAGGGGGGCGCCGCCGATGACGACGCCGCCGACGCCGACGCCGACGCCGACGCCGACGCCGACGACGACGACGACGACGACGACGACGGCGACGACGACGACGACGACGACGACGACGACGAAGACTACGGTGGCGGCGGCGGCGATGGCGACGACGACGGCGGCGACGACGATTACAACCGCGACGACGGCGACGGGGAGGGTGAGATTTGGGTCGCCTCGGAAGCGCGGGCGGGCGATGTCTAGCATTTGTCAAGCATGACATCCAACTCCTCATCGGTGAGTCTTTTAAACTCACTGTGCGGCGGGCCAGGGCCCACGAGAGGCTGCGCGGGCATCGAGCTGCTCGAGCTCGAGCTCGCGCCGCTCGCTTTGAAAGGGGTACCCGATGGGGGATGGTTCCTTCGAATGCCAGTCGGTTTTGCCGCTGCCCTCCCCGCCCAACCCCTCGTCCTCGTCCTCCACCTCCTATCCCTCCTCCTCCTCCCCCTCCTCCTCCTTCTCTTCCTCCTCCTCCTCCTCCTCCTCCTCCTATTCTGCGTTGCCATCCTCTCGCATTATGTGAGGTCCCCCCCCCCCCCCCCCCCCCTTCTGATAGTAGAGGTGTTGCTGTGCCTGCCCGCCGAAACGATTGTCCACGCAGCTGTCGGCGCGCTCAGAGTATTAGCACGCTCGCGCAAGATCTCAGCCTGCACATTGTCCAATGCTGCTCGGGCTCGCTGGTTCGCTACCTCCACGCTGACATGATCATGCTCTGGCTGATAAGGCTTGGCGATCGGCTGGTTGGCTGTCGTGCTCTGCTTCGGCTCGTCGTCAGATTTGTCGTCGTCGTCGCCCGATGGCTGAATGTCTGGCCCCAGCTCCCGCTTCTTAGATGTAGATTCGCCGTCTGATGCTGGCGCCCTTCCGAATGCGTGGAGCGGCGGTGGAAGGGCTGGGAAGATGAGGAGAGGCGAATGAGGATGGGGAGGAGGAAGAGTAGGAGTAGGGGGGATACTTATATATATATATATATATATATATATATATATATATTGTGTATGTGCGCCCGCAGCCTGGACAATATATCAACCAGGGAATCTATCATCTCGCGCGTCACGTTTCCATGATCCGTAATGCCCATATAATCTTCTGGGGGGATGTGCATTTCTGACTAGGCTCCGCGGGCGAGAAGTGAAATCGCGACCCTTAGAATATACCTTCGAGCCGAGACCGACCCGATCCGAGGAGGCGAGGCCACTAGCCTTCGCTGAGCCCCCCACGTACAGATACACCAGAAACAATTCAAACGTCGACCCTCGTGGTCCGTGGTTTCGACCACGATGTAGCCAGAACGTCTAGCAGCGGGACCGCATGCAAATCACATGCAAAATCATCTGCAAACGATTTTGCATGTGAACTCGCCCGATCCCCTCTCGAATCCACGTGGCCCGTGCCGATGCGATGCACCCAGGCCCGCCGCGGATGGGCGCAGCTCTGAAAACTGGCGCTCAGACCGTCGGCCTCGGCTACTCGCCCCACCCCCTCCGAACTCAAGACGTGGGCCCGACAGAGACCGACGAAGACTACGCCAACGTGATCTTGTCGATCCAGAGCTGCGCACCCTAGACGAGGCTCATAAGCTGGCCTCTCGCCGAGCATCCACCGACAACAAATCGATTACAACAAGCGCAATCTTGTTGGCAAGCTCCTGTGGGTAAATCTTGGACGCCGCCATGGCGCCTTTCTGCCCTGTCACCCATGCTGTGCCAAAACCGCTGGGTCTCTTGGTGAAACTGCTGGGTCTCTTGGTGAGACCGCCTGAACTGGATGGCGTTCTCAAAACGCTGGCGGGCCCCCGCTGGGTCTTGGTGTGCAAAGGGGCCCTCTCGCCACCGAGTCGACGCGCAGCATCTGATTTGGATTTGAAAATGTGCGTAGACAGACCCTTTGCAGTGGACCATATTTCTAATATTGTCAGTGATGTGGATCCGTAAGCGCCAAGACTGGTTTTAACCACTCTGCAGCGGTCTTGAGAATGTCATCGGAGATGGTGACGACGTGGACGAATATCGAATTCAGAGGCTGGTCGATTGCCCACTTCACCCCCCGCGTGGCGGCCAGGAAGATCAGGAACGACCTGTGGCGATCGGCGCGCGCGAGCCGCGCGCGCGCCCCCCCTGGCCGATGGAAACATAAGAAAAACAATAGGTGTACACAATTGTTTTCAGGCCTCTCCCCATCCGCTTTATCATTCCTCTCCCGGCTCCTTCCCCTTGCCCTCCTCGTTCTTCCCTCCCCATCCCCCGTGCCGCCGCCCCTCTCCCCGCCCCCTGAGTGGATCGTCAATCGAGCGGCGCGCGTGGTACATGCACAGGTTCAACCACGTCGAACACTGGGGACTCAGCCAGAGAGTACCCGTCGGCAGAATTGCCGCAACGAGGAACATCACATACAACGTGCCAATTAAAGAACAACAATCTTGCCATCCAAACCGATCACGCTCGACACTACAAGCTCGGTAACCTTTGGACATCAAGCTGCGCGTTATACGAGCGCTACCAGCAAAAACTTCAACGCAAGCGAGGGTTCTGGGAATCAAACAAATATCCTTCTGGAGCCTCTCAGCGGCTCGCGACAGCATACGTGAACCGTGGCCATCAGTTCCAAGGTCGGGCATGCCGTCGTTCATCAATTCAACCGACGCTGCCGATGCCCATTGAAAAGCAACATCATGAGGGGGGTGACATCGGGAGCATCGCTGGGCGCCCCCATTGCCGCCCAAGGAGTACTATCGACCGACTCCTGATACCAGTGATTGTTTGCCACCAGCTGGAGCTGAAAGGTACTTCCCAGCGGAAAAGTACGATTGGAGATCAATCAGCTTGTGGACCCTGGAACCAAATGTCAATCGATGGCAGAACATGGCGATCGACGTCAAATTTCGTTTGAGGCTCTTGTCCGTATACGTGGCATGCAATTTGGGAACACCGTGCCAAGGGATCCTGAACGATTAGGGGGCGCCTCAAAAGGAAGTCTGCTGCCCACGTGCCGCCCCCCGCCCCTGCATCGAGAGCTCTCTGCCATCAGCGGCGCTCGACCTCCACATCCTGCTCAGCGCATGCCCCGTTGTCTTACCCCCCCCCCGCAACTCTATATGCCTCTCGATATGTATGAATATGCGTGGTTTTAACAACGATCTGCGTAGGGGAAATGCGAGAGGGGCCGCACTGACTCGTCAGGGAGTTGCCATGCCGATGCTACGCCATCGGCATTGTGGCTCAAAGTGCATGAGGCGCATTCGATGCAGGACCTCGCCGCCTCCCTGTCAGGGGTCCTGCAGTACGGGGCGCAGGCCATCGGCGCCTCCGTGGTCGCGCGCGCGGCGGCCCCGAGTTGTGGCGCCTGCGCGCCTCAGCTTGCCTGCCCTGCCATCCCCTCCTGCGTCTGCGCAGGCGCTGGCGGGCAGGTGCCCGAGCCGTCGTGCGCCGGCCTCATCGCGGCCTACGCGGTGGCCGCGCTGATCGTCGGCCTCACCGTCGGGGCTGCGGGGGGCGCCTGGGCGGCCAGCGGCCTGCGCGTGGCCGGGGCGCCAACGCCGGCGCCGGCGGCGGCGGGCAAGGTGCCGCAGACGGCCCTCTCGATTGAGGACGAGGCCCGTGAGCAGGCGGCGGCAGCGCGGGCTCGGAGGACGGGCTCCAGCGCGCAATGATGGCAGCGCCGACACATCCGCTGGAGCGGATGGGGGTGCAGCCCGGGGATTTCATCCTCATCCGCTACAACGTCGGCGGGCGCCGGCTGTGGCACGAGAGGCTCGTCCTGTGCCTCGCGGCGGCGGCCCCGTGGGGCGTGGGGATCCTCGCGCCCGATGGGGGCGCGTACGTGGAGATCGTGATCGGTGGCGCCGACATCGCAGAGTGCCTCGTGTGTGACAGGGGCGCGGCCGGTGGCGGAGCAGCTGCCCTCGGAGGCGATGCCACCTATCGCTTCAACGCGATCCCGCTCGGCCCGGTGGTCGCGCAGGGGGTGCAGGGCACCGCCGCGATGCTCGGGCTCGGGGTGCAGCCGGCGGTCGCGCCCAACACCGTCGGGCGGGCGATCCTGCCGGTGGCCGCTGACGCCGCAGGAGGAGCCGCGGCCGCGGCCGGCGGCGCGGGCGCCGCAGGAGGTGTGGCCGGGCTGGCTGCGGCCCTCGCAGGCGGGGGCATTGGCGCCGCCGCGGCCCCCGGCGGTGGGGCCCTGGTGGCCGCGCCGGCCGCCCTCGTGGGCCCGCCTGCCGGCGGCGCGCTGGTGGGTGCCGCCCCACAGCCTGGCGCCCCGGCGGCGGCAGCACCCGCGGCGCCGCCAGTCGCCGCGCATGTGGCCCCGGCGGCTGCAGCGCCTGCAGGCGCGCCTTTCATGGGCGCAGCCGCGGAGGCTCCCGGCGGCGACCTCAGGATCATGGCGGTGCAGACCGACATACGTGGGCAGCGTCATCGGCCCTTCTCAGAGGCTTCGCGTCTGCTGGTGGAGGTGCCTTTCGCGGACTGGCCTAATCATGGGCCACGCACGCTGTTGTGGGTGGTGCTCTTCATCTCGAGGGTCGCCGGGACGCCGCTCGCCTGGCACCAGAAGTTCCGCACGGACGGGAACCTGGACAATGACGAGCCTGGCGTTGGCAACCACGAGATGATGTGCCGGTTGCTTGAGATCGGGCTCTGCTACGACCAGCTTCACGGCTCGAACCTGGCCTCGATGGAGCTGGTCGCGCGGTCTATCCAGACTGAGAACGAGCGCCACAGGCATCGTTTCGAGAGCTCGGAGGATGCTGACCTGAACCACAACCTGATGATCGGGATGACCCACGGGCGTGGGCACGTGTGTGCGTGCCCGGCCTTGCGGGACCACGTCTCCGCCCAGCTGCAGAAGGAGGCGTCTATCGCCAAGGAGAGGAGGAGGGCTCGTGAGGAGCGGGCCCTCGCCGGCGGCGGCGCTGCTGGGTCTGGAGCTGGAGGAGGCGGCCGCGGCAAGAAGAAGAACAAGGGAGGCAAAGGCGGCGGCCGTGGCGATGCGGCCGCCGCGGGCGAATGATCGGCGATGAATGTGGCAGCCTGGGGGACCGGCAGGCTGCTCGCAGCAAGGACACCACCGGCCAGGCGGCCGCCTCTTGGCCGCCCGAGGCAGGGAGACAGCGTGACCTGTTCCCGATGCCACTTGTGGGCGGTGGCAGCGAGTGCGGCAAGCCCACGCTCAGTCGCCGCCCGCTACGTCGTCGCGCCGTTCGCCTTCACCACCTGCATCGGCTGAACGCTGCAATTTCTTCACTGAATTCGCTTTATGGTTGTCAAAGTGTTGTCGGGGACCCAGTCAACGAGAGCCAGCGGACAGCCATCCAGAACATGAACACCGCTCTACATCGGCTTGGTCGTCAGCCCGAGCAGTATGCGGAGACGCGTGAGTGCGAGGACGGAGCCCTCTCGGAGCTCCTCCAGGGCGTCGCCATCTACGGAGACGGCGCCTGCAACCCGTCAGTTCCGTACCGCCGAGAGCAGATCTCATGGCCATCTTCGAGCACGCCACCAGTGGAGCTGCCCACCATCCTGGGGCCCTCGGAGGCGGCGCGCCTGCGGGACTGGCGGAGCCAAATGCTGAGACCACCGAGGGAGGCAGAAGAGCTCATGGCCACGGCGTGCCCAAGGGGGGCGTACTGCGACCAGGGGCTAGTCGGCGACCCGCGGACCTGCGTTCAGTTCTTGGGCAAGCTCTACGGCAAGGGGATGGTTCACTTCTCCGCCGCCGTGGACGCCAAGGGAGCTGTCGGTGTGTTCTTCGCCCCGAAGAAGAGCGGGGCGCAACGAATCATCTTTGACACGCGTATCGCAAATTGTTTTTTCAAGGCGCCTCCGAAGACCAGATTGCCGACCGCTGCTGCCTGGAGCGCAGTGGAGGCCCCCGCGTCGGGGGTTTTCGTGGCGACGGCGGACTTGGAGTGTGCGTTCTACCACATGAAGCTGCCCAGCGGCATGGAAGAGTACTTCTCGCTGCCCGCCATCGACTCCACCTTCTTGCTGGAGGCCGGGCTCGACGACTTGCCTTTCGGGCCGGGAGTGATGGTGGCAGCTCGCGTGTTGGTGCTGCCGATGGGGTTCAGCTGGGCCCTTCATTGTGCCAAGATGTGGCCGCAGCCTGCCTGCTGCGGAGCGGCGTCGACCCGTCCAGCATCGTCGTGGACGGTCAGGTCGGCATCGCCCTCGGACCGTCGCGTCCGGTCGCAGCTGGCGCGTACGTCGACAACGTGGTCACCATCGGCACCAGCGCAGAGGTGGCAAACTCGTTGTGCATTCCCTCGTGCGGCGCTTTGAGGACGCCGGGCTCGTGGTTCACGAGATTGTCGAGGCGTCGGCCGACGCCCAGTTCTTGGGGCTGCAGCTGCACGCCGGGAAGGCGCTCACCGTGAAGGCCAAGAACGTCTGGCGGCTGCGGGCCGCGCTTGGTAGCCTCTTGCGGCGGAAGTGGGTCACTGGCTACGCGCTGCGGGCCGTCCTTGGGCACATCACCTGGATGAGCATGCTGCGGCGCGAGGCCCTGACGACCCTGCACGCCTGCTACGCTTTCGTCGAGGTGTTCGAGGGCCGCCCTGGCCGCCTGTGGGACTCAGCGGCGCGGGAGCTGATCACGGTCGCAACCTGTTGCCGATCCTGCCGGCGGACCTGACCGCCGGCTGGTGCAGCACTATCGCCTGCAGCGATGCCGCGCCAGGTGGGCTCGGTGTTGCGCGCCAGCGGCTGGAGGCCACGGTCGTCGCCAGCTGCGCCCGGTTTTCAGAGCGCTGGCGGTTCAAAGTCGCCGGGGCGCAGGCAGCTCGCGAGCGGTCCCTTGCTTGCGGATCTGCGTCGGAAAAGATGGCTGCCACCAAAAACGGATATCGTGCTGCTGACGCTGACCCTGATGCCGCCGAGACCCCGCTCAAGCACGTGGAGCCCTTCCCGAACTATATTGTGGCGTCCCTCGCGGACTCCATTCTGGATTCTGGCGGGGTGCTCGCCGAGGCGCCCGAGGAGGTCTCGGAGGACCCGGAGGGCTTCGCGGTGAGGTTCGAGGAGGTCCCAGCAGACATCACCGACTCCCCAGCATGGCGGCCCTCTGCGGCCGTCCAGGTCTCCGGCGGGGCCAACATCCTGTTCCTGGAAGGTGAAGGCCTGTGCTTGGCCTACCGTCATCTCTTGCGGGACTCGAGCAGCCTGGGGCAAAGGGTGATGATCATAGTCGACAATCTGCCGCTTGCTCTTGGGGTCGTGAAGGGCCGGGCCAAGAGCAAACACCTCCGCCGGTGCCTCGGACGGGTATGTGCTCTGTCAGTCGCCACCGGCTCGAAGCTGTACGTCAGGTGGGTCGCCTCAGAACGGAGCGCATCGGACCCAGTCAGCCGCGGGCGCTATGGCTGGTTCAGCGGGCGGCGCGTGCTGCGCGGGCCCGCGGTGGGCGCTCCTGCTGGCCGTCGCGGTGGTCGCCGCTGCGGGCCCCGTGGGCGCCGACGCGGCTCGGAAGTCACGCGTGCCCAGCACGGGGGCCGCCGTGGTGCAGCGGCAGAAGCTGGCTCAGCAGGCGCGGAGCTCGCGGCCGCTGCTGGCGGGGCTGACGCTACTGGAGACGCTGGCCATCCGCGCGAACACCGAGCGGAGCTACTTGCAGATGCTGAACAACTTCGTGCAGTGGTGCCAGCAGCACCGCCAGGACTGGAGGACGTACGAGGAGCTCGACCTGGTGCTGTCGAGCTACTTCTCGGACCACTACTTGCTGGGGACGGCGTGCAACATCGGGAGCCAGACGCTGGCGGCCATCGCGCACGTCACGCCCTCGCTGTTCAAGCAGACGGTATCCGTGCTCCCCCGGGCCTCGAGGGCCTCGGCCGCCTGGAAGCGCCGCGCGCCGGGCAAGACCCGGCTGCCGCTGCCGCGCCCTGCAGCCTACGCGATCGCGGGCTGGCTGATCAGCCACGGGCAGCTTGGGATGGCATGCTGGGTGGTCCTGGCCTTCGCAGCCTACCTGCGGCCAGCCGAGGCGCAGGGCCTGACGCGCGAGAGCCTAGTGCCGCCGGCCCCGGCAGCCGGCGCGGGGTACTCTTGCTGGGCCCTGCTGATGCATCCGCTGGAGCGCGGAGTGGCGGGAAAGACCGGGCACTACGACGACAGCGTGTTGATCGACCAGGCCCCTCTGTGGCCGGTGCTGGCGGCGATGCGGCTAGCGACGCCGCCCAGGGCCAGCCCGTGGAGCTTCTCGCTGGACGAGCTCACCGCGCAGTTCAGCAGTGCGCGCCAGGCTCTGAAGCTGTCGTCGCTGAGGCCCCACCTCCACAGCACAGCCTCCGCCATGGGGGAGCCTCGGACGACCTCCTGACGGGCCGCCGCAGCCCGCTCGAGGTGCAGCGCCGAGGCAGGTGGGCAGTGGCGTCGTCGATGCGGCGCTGCGGCGAGGAGGGCTCCCTGCTGGACGAGATGGCGCGGGTGAACGCGGATGTCTTCGCCTTCGGGGCCCTCGTCGAGGCGAACCTCAGCTCTCTCCTCGAGCACGGTTTCAGCAGGATGAGCCTGTGCGGCCAGGTGCCGGCGACTGTGCTGCCGACGCTGGGCCCAGTGGCTGCGGCGTCAGGCCGGCGGGGCCGCAAGCGGCCTGCCGCCCGCCGCTGACCGGGGCCTCGGGCGTCGCCGCCCCGGGCCCACCTCAGCGACCAGCAGCAGTGCCCAGCAGCACCGAGGACGGGGTGTGTAGCCGGCATCTCAAACGGCGCCTTCGGCGCGCTTTGCGTTCGCAGCGGACGCGGCGCGTGGTGCTGGAGCTCTTTGCTGGCTCGTCACACCTCACCGAGGCGGTCAGGCGGCGGGGGCTGCCTGCGCTGGACCTGGACCTGTGGCGGGGTCCAGCTGAGGACCACCTCAGCCGCGAGTTTCGTGCTGTCGTGAAGGGCTGGCTGGCAGGCCGGGTCGCTGGCGCCGTCTGGTTGGGCACCCCGTGCACTACCTGGACACAAGCGCTGCGACGGCCTTTGCGGACACGGGCGCGGCCGATGGGGCGGGCTGACCTCTTGCCTCACGAGGCCGCCAAAGTTCGCATGGGGAACCGAACTTTCCACTTATCTTGTGATGTGATCGAGCTTTGTCTGGAGCAGCGTATCCCAGTTTTCATTGAGAACCCGGCAGGCTCGCTGATATGGAAAGCGCGACGTCTGCAACGATTGCTTCAGCATCCGTCTTGCCAGCTGCTGACTTTCGACTGCTGTCAGTACGGCGCCCCCTGGCGTAAGCGGACATCGGTGGCTGCCTGGGACGCCGTCGACCTGTCCCGCCTTCAGCGCCGCTGCGCTGGCAGGCGAGGGATGTGCTCTCGTTCGAACAGACCTCACGTGATCCTCACCGGCCACGCCGGCGGTGTGCACCTCACGGCGCAGGCGGCTGCCTACCCTCCTCTCTTTTGTCGTGAGGTCGCTAAGCTCATTGAACACTCTATGCAAGTCCAGTCTCACAAGCATCTCGTAAACATCATAACGAGATAGATTCCTGCATCGTATACTTATTATTTCTGACGGCCTGCCGGCCAGGTTTCTCTCCGTCGGGATTTGGGAGTCAGTGGGTCCTGTTCGCTGTTTTCTGTCTGTGCGCTCGTGTGTCGACGCCCGGCCCAACATGAGACACGTGCGTCTGCCTGGCTCCGACCCACGCAGATAGGCCTTGCTCGTATGTGAAAACGTCCGGGGGGCGCTCTGTGTCTCGGATGGCTATCGCCACTCCGGCGCCCCCGCGCCTCCATCGTGCCGCGCCGTTCAAGAGCTGGCCCTCGGGAATGGAGGCGGGCTGCGTGGTTTTAACAACGATCTGCGTGGGGGGAATGCGAGAGGGGCCGCGCTGACTCGTCAGGGAGTTGCCATGCCGATGCTACGCCATCGGCATTGTGGCTCAAAGTGCACCCGCCCGCGTGCCACCCTGTCGAAGAACCTTTTCCGTGCCTTTGATGCCCCAATATGAGGGGAGTCAGTGGGTCCTGTTCGCTGTTTTCTGTCTGTACGCTCGTGTGTCGACGCCCGGCCCAACATGGGACACGTGCGTCTGCCTGGCTCCGACCCACACAGATAGGCCTTGCTCGTATGTGAAAACGTCCGGGGAGCGCTCTGTGTCTCGGATGGCTATCGCCACTCCGGCGCCCCCGCACCTCCATCGTGCCAGGCCGTTCAAGAGCTGGCCCTCGGGAGTGGAGGCGGGCTATATATATATATATATACTGCATGCGCCACATAGATTGCACCAAAGAGATCGGTCCACATACATCCTACCACATGGGTTGCAGCACGTAGATCGCGCCAAATAGATGGCACCACGTACACTCTGCACCACAGATGTTGCACAACATATATTGCGCCTCATTTATTTCAGGAGGTGAAACAAAACACGCAGACACAATGAATCGTCGCTTCCCCAGAATATGGGAAAGTATGGGAAGTGGGGGGGGGGGGAATGCAAAAAACCAGAACATATAGGAACATCTGGGGAATCTGATTATTTGTGTATATTTATTTGTGTGTCCTAGTTCCCCTTCATAATTGGACCACATGGAATGCACCACATATTTCACCACCTAGGTTGCACCACGCAGGTTGCACCGCGTCGATTGCACCACATAGCATGCTAGAAAACACGGTTTGGGGTCCACGCTGGTCTCTCTCTCTCTCTCTCTATATATATATATATGTATCTATATATACGTATATGTTTTTTTTGTCTCTCTCTCTCTCTCCCTCTCTCTTCTCTCTCTGTTGATGGTTTTTACTTGGACCAAGGGGCTACAGATTAGCATGTACAGTCAACACGCCTCCAAGATGCAGGCGAGCGCATCGCCTTGCATCTTCTCTGTACTGCGGCTCGAGCCTCCATCTGAAGGCTCAAGCTCAAGCCAAAGCGGGCGTCCCCGCCGTGGCTCCCGCGCGCCCGCGCCCGACGCGCGCCCTCGGCTCAAAGGAGCGGCCTCTGGCCGCGCCCTCACCCGTCTTGGGTGGCCCTCAAAGGGTCTTGCATTCGGCTCGGACCTACCCCGTGCTGCTGAGAAGCGCGCCTAGGTGCGAGCCTAGACTCGCATCCGAGCGAAACGCTCGGATAGGCACCCTGCCTGGAACCAGCCGCGCGGCCCACGCCGCTGCAGCCAGCCCCTCACTGCTGGCCATGTGCTGGCCGCCGTCCCTCGACAGACGGACGATGAGGTCCGCCTTCAAGCCGCTCACTGGCAGCTTCCGCCACCTGAGCTCCTCCTTGAGCTCTGCCACGGTGGCCTCAGCCAGCATCTTCCCGAAGTACTCCGAACCGAGGTCTCGCCCTTCGGCGACCCGCTCAGGCGCAGCTATCGCCGCTGCCCGAGAAACGACATGCCCCTCAGGCGCGTCCTTCGACGCCGCCTCGGGCCTCGCCGTGCCGTCGGCCTGCGGGGCAGCCCTCGCCGCTCCCGCTGGTGGGGCAGCACTCGCCGCCCTAGATGAGAAGAGCTGCACCGCCCCTCTCGTGCACACAACTGCGCCCTTGACCGCGAGCACCAGCACGATGATGAACACGATCATGGCGAGAACGATCGAGCCGATGTTCGACTCGACCTCGTCGTCAGCGGCCGTGGAGCACTGCTTGTCTCCGTGATCGGCCGCCTCCGTGAAAGTGACGCCCACGCCCGCGGCGAGCCCCTTGGTCAGAAGCCGCAGGTTGGACATCTCCAGCAACTTGAGCACCCGCTTGCCGTCCAGATGCTTGGTCCCCAAGTCGCTCCTGTTGCTCTCCGTGTCGACTCGCCCGAGCTGTAGCTCGCCGAGCCTGACTCGTTCCTGCACCCACAGGTCTCGTATCTGTAGATGCCGTACTTTGCCACTGCCGATCCGCGTCGCGATCGCCCTGCCTGCATTCGAGTCGCTGTGAACCTTCGACGCGACCTCGATGCCACACTGCTGGTAGAACTGCCGCATCATGATCGCACTCGCCGCGCCTCGGCCGATGGCGTAGAACTCGGCCTCTCCGCTGCTGAGCGCGACGACGGGCTGCGATGCCACCTGGGTCTCCAGGAGGTGGCTGCCAAAGAAGCCGTACACGGAGCTGGTCGATTTCCTCGTGATCTCATCCTCCGCCCAGTCCGAGTCCGTCTCGTAGAGAACCGCCTTGGGCATCTCCTGCTTCTCGTAGAACCACCCGAGCTCGCGCCGACCGTGGAGATACCGCACGCACCGCCTCAGCCTAAGCATGCTGATGACTGTGGGCTTCCCCATGTCCGTGAGGATCACCTTCACCGCGAACTGGATGTCCGGCCTGTCTACCGCCACGTAGTTGACGAGCCCCGCGACCTGCTGGTAGAGCTTCGCCTCGTCGTGCGGAAGTGGATCCAGCGCCTCCCGGACGCTCTTGCCCGTGGCCTTGCTCCCAGGCGTGTCCGCCGGCTTGCACTCCGTAAGGCCCAGCAGCTCCACGCACCTCGTCACGTGCTTCGTGTCGCCAATCCAGACGAACCCCTTGCCCGTCCACCTGATCTTGCGCTTGAGGTACGGGAGCTCACGGACGCCATCCGGCCCGACACGACCGATGCACTTGACGTCCATGCTCGCCATCAGCTGCTGGTCCAGGACATCCAGGGACTCCTCCTCGCCCTCGGTCAAGATGTCGTCACCGTGGATCGCCGAGGTCATGTCCAAGAGAGGCTCGTGGTACACGCCCGCCGCCACCGCGATGCGCGTCCAGTTGTTCTTCTTGAACACCCCGGCCACGTACTCCTGCCAGGCCTGTGCCGCCTTGCGCGTGCCGTACATGGCCTTCCGGAGCTGCCACACGTACCCGTCTCTCCTAAGTCCTGGAGGCGGGATGACGACGATCCACTCGTCGAGGTCGGCGTGGAAGAACGCCACGTGCACGTCATGCACCGAGAGATGCCTCCGACCCTTCTTCGTCGCCGCCAAGGAGACGATCGCCCTGACGATGGCGATCGGCGGCGTGCCCGCGTTGCAGTCCTCTCGGCCGTACGTGTTGATCTCCATGGCGACGCCTCGGGACCGGACGAAGGGGTTGCCGTCCTTGGTGCGCAGGTCCTCGACCCACTTGAAACGCACCACCTTGCCCCGGCTCTCGGCCACGCGGACCTCCTCGAAGACGCCGTGTCGCCGCATCTCCTCGATCTCGGCCTCGCGCCCGCGCCTGACCAGGTCCCTGGGGAGCTCCTTCCCGCTCCTCGCGTCGTACACGTGCTTCTCCGTGTCTGGCAGGACCGTGATCGCCGCCGGCTCGACGGGGCTGACCTCGAACATCCCGATCTCCAGCGGCTCGCAGCTCTCGATCTCCGTGACCGTCTCGAGCTCCTCGTGGGACTGCTGGTCCAGGCCTTCGTACGTGCAGGGATTGATCTCCACGAAGGCCCCGACTGCGAGCGACCCGACTGTGATCGCCGCTGTCTGGCGCGGCCTCTTCGCCGACGCCTCGCCCTGGTCGTCGCGAGGCGCCATGCTGGCATCCCCGGACGATCCTGGCCTGCCGTCTCCAGCCCCAGCCGCTGGCCCCGGCGCGGCTCCCGCCGCCGCCGGCGTCGGCGCAGCCCCCGCCGCTGCCGACGAGGGCGCGGCCTCCGCCGCTGCCCTGGCCATCTCCTCCTTGCGCAGCTCGTTCTCGATCCTCTTCCGGCACTC